ACTCTCTCTCTCTCTCTCTCAGACAAACGTATTTCATCCGTTGTTATAAATTTAAGCGTGTGAGGACCTTTATATTTTGGAGAGCTGTGTTGATGTTGTGTGTGAGAAGTTCATTGATGTTGATGAATGTGGGAGACCTGCGTTGATGTTGTAGTATGGGAGAACTGCGTTGATGCTGCCATATATATATATATAAGAGAACTGCGTTTATGTTATTGTACATGAACATTTCATTGATATTGTTGCACGGAAGAACTGCGTTGATGTTGTTGTGTGGGTGAACTGCGTTATTGTAAATTAAATGAGGACTGCATTTATGTTGCTGTATTTGAACTTGAAGAAAAAATGTGCATTGATAATAATATTGTTGTTGAATGCGAGAACTGCGTTGTTGTTGTTGTTGTATGTGAATCATGTGTTGGTGTTGTTGGGGAATTGGGAGTGAGAATTGCATTGATGTCATTATCTTTATAATGTGAAAACTGTATTTTTATTGTAAGTGAGAAAGGAAGGCATTAGTAGTTTTGTGTGTGTGAGAATTGCGACACCATTGTTGTACAAAAAAACTGCATTGATGTTGTTCATGAAAATTTCGTTGATGTTGTACATGAGGAACTGCATTTTTTATGTTGTTGAATGTGATAACTGCGTTGACGTTGTTGGAAGGAGAACTGCGTTTTTATGTTGTTGAAGGGTGATAACTGCGTTGATGTTGTTGTACATGAGAACTGCGTTTCTATGTTGTTGAATGTGATAACTGCGTTGACGTTGTTGTAGGTACCGGAGAGGAAATGCTTTGTGCTTCGATGTTGAAAACCTGTGATTCCAGACCTCTCATTTGATGTTGTTTTAAGCTATAACATTTTTTGCACAAAGAATGAGAAAAAAATATATATACATATTATTATCTATACCTATAAATCTATCAGTATTGTTGTCCCGTGCTGTTGTATATCGGCAATCTGGCGGAGGGTGTGAGTGGGAGGGTGTGGGAGCAGTGAGTGGGAGGGTGTGAGTGGGAGGGTGTAGGAGCAGTGAGTGGAGGGTGTGAGTGGGAGGGTGTGAGTGGGAGGGTGTGGGAGCAGTGAGCGGGAGTAGTGAGTGGAAGGGTGTGAATGGGAGCAGTGAGCGGGAGGGTGTGATGGGTAGCGTCAGTGATGTAGTGAGGAGAGGACTTGTATATTTGGTCGCTTTTAAGGGCAAGCGGGTGGGTGGTTGGCGGGTGCTTTGTTCTTTCCTATCAAACATCTATCGTCTTTATCTCCCCTCCTTTTTTGTGGTAGTTATTCTCTTGTAACACCTCTAATCTTCGGTACTTACATGACCTTATTGTGTTGCAAGTGCCGTAAAACTCTTACTAAAACTAAAAGTAAGGACAAGCGGGCTAACCCAGATGTCGGGGGGTTTCCAGAAATCCTGATCTACACCAAAAGTGGGCATTGCCCTACCTATAGGAGAAGTTTGGTTTCATTGGTCTGTATATTTGTTTGGTTATAGAGAAAACTCTCCTAATCTTTTAAAGAAACTGAACAAGGGTCCAAAAACTTTACCTTCGATTTTCCCGAAACAGCATTTTTCGGGATAGCCCCCTTGTGCTTAAAAGCGACCGTAGATTCTATGTGCAGCGGGTGCTGGGAAAGGAGGGAGGAGGTAGGTGGGTGGTGCTGAGCTTGTGTGTGAGGAGGGATGAGAAGGATGTACTAACCCTATCCGTACATCGTGTTTTACTATCGTATCCATACGACGTGGGGAACTTTGTGCTACCACTTTTTTCAAAGAGGAAATTTGCTCGTTAATCCTATCCGTAAGCTTTGCATAGCAGTGTGTCGAAATGATTTTTTGGGAAATACTAAAAGTTTCAAAGAGATCTTCGTACTAGAAGTAATCTAAAATGTGAAGAATACAACCCCGGGGGTACAAAATATCCCCAGGGCGTACGGATAGGATTAAAGTAATGAATTGTGTATGGTTCTGGTGGGGAAGGGAGGAGGTAGGAGGGGTTGTTTGTGTGTTGTATTTTGTGAGGTCTTTCTGGTGTGGAAGGTAGGGGTGAGTTTGGTGGGTCACGAGTAGTGTGTCAAGTAGGGGGGGCGTGTGTGTTTGATGTGTAAGTGGTCACTATAAGTGTGTCAGGCAGTGAGTCACTGGTGTTGTAGATAACGTGTGTGTTAAGTGCGTAAGTGGTCACTATAGTGTGTCAGACAGTGACGTGTGTGTGTTTGGTGTGTAAGTGATCACTAGTGTGTCAAACGGTGCATGTGTGTGTTCAGTAGAGGCATTTGTACTCGGTGTGTAAGTGGTCACTATAGTGTGTCAGATAGTGGCGTGTGTACTAGGTGTGTAAGTGGTCACTATAGTGTGTCAGATAGTGGCGCGTGTACTAGGTGTGTAAGTGGTCACTTGTGTGTTAAGTTGAGGCGTGTGTGTTAAGTGTGTAAGTTGTCAGTAGTGTGTCAAAAGGTGTGTGTATTTGTTGCTTAAATGGTCACCCGTTGTGGGTTGGGCAGGTAACGGATTTGTTGTCCAATCATTCACAAACTGATCTCAGTTGTTTAATCTTTCAGACGCGCACCTCTCACGGGGGAGCGGCTCACGTCACATGGTGTACGCCTCCTCAATCATACGTCGCGTCCATCATACAGTGTGATAGAGAGAGAGAGAGGGGGGGGAGGGAGAGTATGTGTGCATGTGAGAAAGAGGGAGAGAGAGAGCGCGCGAGTGTGTGGTGTTTTGTTAGACCGAGTGTACGTGTTATACGTTCACATGTGGTGTGTTGTTATTATTATTGATGGTGGACAAAACTGGCACGGCTGTTCTTGGACACACGCTGGAATAAATACACAGTACTCAAGGGCTTTGTTTACACATTACGCATGTGTGTGCTGTCATGTTAACACATTACGTGTGTGTTGCCGTGTCAATGCATTACTCGTGACAACACATGCGTGCGTGTGTTGTCGTTGTTTGTTGCCACCTTGGTTGTCCATGTATGTGTGTACATTTTTTTGCTGTTGTTTATTTTTTGTACCATAGTCTCATGTTTGTGGACTCTTCAGAAGAGCCGCGGTCGGTCGGTCGGTTGTTGGACTTTTGTTTTGTCGTCGTCATTGGAATCATTTATTTTGTCGTCAGTTCCCCATGATGCTCTGTCAGTGTCTCACTCGTTCTGCTCTGATGACTTTTGTCTTGTCGGAGTGGGTAAGGTGGAGGGGGGGGGGGTGCCTCCCCTTCTTCTTTGTCCCCTCTCTTACTGTGGAGATTGTATGAGGGTGGTGTGTGCTATTGTGGTGTGCACTGACTGTATGAGGAAGGTGTGTGCTCTATATGTACGTGGTGTGTACCATGTATGAGATCAGAGTGGTATGTGCTTCATGTGTTGATTTTCTATGAGATGTGATGTGGTGGGCACTGTGTATGAAGGTGGTGTGTGCTTAATGTGTTGATTTTCTTTGAGATTTGTATGTGCTGATGTGGTGTGCACTGTGTTAGAGGGTGGTATATGCTCTCTGTGGAGTTTGTACGAGGGTTGTATATATGTTTTGTGTGGGAAATTTATTCGAGTATTGTATGTGATTTATGTGTGGAGTTTATCCGATTGTATGAGTGTGTATGTACATGTGTTTGTGTGTGTATGTACATGTGTTTGTGTGTGTATGTACATGTGTTTGTGTGTGTGTGTACATGTGTTTGTGTGTGTATGTACATGTGTGTGTACATGTGTGCGTGTGTGTGTGTATGTGTGTGAGGGGTGGGGAAGGGAGGGGGCGAAAGATTTATTTTCTTGGTTTTATAGCTTGGTTATAAATATAAAGAACATTGCTACAAATTCTGCCAGCTTTCATTTTGAGAGGTTTAATTATTAATTATATAATTTTAAAAAAGAAAAATTTTATCTGTAATAATATATTTGCGAAGGGTGTTTTCGCCACGAGTGTTACTGAGAACCTGACAGTATTTGGCACAATGGGATGAATGTCATGTATGGATCCTGGTGAAATCAGGCGCTTGTCAAAATAAGGAAATTGAAGAAACCGGCATTTTTCCGCCAGATTACGCCCGTTGGCCGAGTTTTCTCCATTTTTCTTTTTGTTCAATATTTTTCTTGTATGTTTCTATTTGGTTTCTTAGGAGACTGCTAAGAGTATCGTGGAAGGAAAAGAAATCAAATGAGGTAGTGCTTGATGAAGCCCACGTGGGACGCTCAATGTTAAAAACAATCAGGAAACGACAAATGCAGTTTTTTGGACACCTGAATAGACATAAGGGTCTTGAACATCTAGCTCTCACTAGCAAAATTGAGGGCAAGCGAGGCAGGGGTAGGCCCAGAGCAACATACTTAGGGAACCTAAACAAATGGGTAACAAGGAAAGATCAGGGAAACGTAGCTTTTCTGAGAGCATCCGAGCAAAGGAATGAATGGAAAATCATGATCGCCGATGTCTGTCGCAGATCTGGCACTGGATGATGATGATGATCTTTCTATTAAGAAACACACTTCTGTGTGAATTTTACGGAAACACAGTGATTAAAGGTGGGGAAAATGAAACTTTGTTGTATCCATGGACACTAGCTAAAAGTAAAAGCTTTGGAAGTCATCAAACTTTCTTGCAGCCATTTTCTTGTTAACTTAACCTAGTCT